GCGTTGAATGAGCCATCTACCAACCTATTCTGACATCATTTGACATATGTAATTAGCTGAAAACCTCCATTTTCCACGAATTTCACCCATTTTCTTCACTTTTCACAGCTACTACTAAGCCTTTCTTGCTCATGTAATATTACATCATCATCTATAGCCTTAAAAATCCCGGAAAATCCTCTTGGCAACCTTAAATTCCATCACTACCACTATTACACAACCAAACTACACGTGTACCTCTTGTTTACCAACTTCGAAAAAGTGCTTTCTTCCTAATAACTTCTGTTTCTACTTATCAACCTTGAAGATTAAAATTTTCATAGTATCATATAATGTTGTTCTTTCATATTCTAACCTCATAATACCCATAACTTTATTTTTACTAACCTAAAAACCATTTTCCAACCTTTATACCTATAATTTCGAATTTTTCTTATGTTTTTCTTTCTTTCTTTTTGTAATAAATTTGTAAGTAAACTATAATGATCTTAATATATAATGTGAAATAAAATAATGTAATGTTGACCTAATGACCAATACATAAGCCTACAAGAGCTTCAATTGATCAAAAACCTCCATTTCGAATTTTCTTTCCTGCTGAATCCTGCTAATAAACTGGTAAACTGGTAATTGTGAATTTTTTAATTGATCCCATAAATTGATCACCACAACGCCACAGAGGTGTGACACTCTACCAATCATTAAACCCTATCTCCGAATAATTCGTTTCCAGGGTTACAGACTGTTAAAGAAAAAAGATAACTTTTCCTAGGGCCCATGCCAATGTCACCAAGTTCATATGCGTTACCGCTGAAAATCTGCATCCCAGTTGTAGAATCTTAACTACATTCCCTTTCGATAGGTCAGACTAACAAGAGCCTTCTTTAAAACGGAGGTTCCCTATCTCTTAGGACCGACTAACCCATGTCCAACTGCTGTTACCATGGAACCCTTCCCCACTTCAGTCTTCAAGGATCCCACTTGAATATTTGCTACTTCCACCAAGATCTGCACTAAAGGCTGCTCCACTCAACATCACTGTCAAAGCTTCTACGCAACCTTTACGCCTGCCTACTCGTTAATATCTTTAAAAGAATACTAACGGCAGAGTATAGGTAATACACTTGAGCGCCATCCATTTTCAGGGCTAGTTCATTCGGCCGTTGAGTTGTTACACACTCCTTAGCGGATTCCGACTTCCATGGCCACCGTGCGGCTGTCTAGATGAACTAACACCTTTTGTGGTGTCTGATAAGTGTATATTCCGGCACCTTAACTCTGCGTTTGGTTCATCCCACATCGCCAGTTCTGCTTACCAAAAGTGGCCCACTTTTTTTTTTTTTTCGGAGACGCGCCTCAAATGACTCTTTCGAATCATTTGAATTTTCCTTGTGGGTAGAATATGCTTGAACAAGTGATCTCTTCTTAGAACCCAGGGGCATCCTAATATCACAGTGTTACTTCATACGTCCAAGGATGAGCTTTTAATTACGGAAACACTCATCCCACGACTCTAAAGGGGAATCATCCCTTAGAGCTGCCTTTTTCAAAGGCCGACGACTCCAGACTTTTACTGGGTAAACTCCCTTTCCACAGCGCGTGGTGTTGCCATAGACTTTACAGTCCCTCGGCCAGTTGTACTTATCACATAGGACGGGGTAGAGGCGGATTTGACACCCTAAACCCTCCATATGCGTCTGTTGCAATTGATGCAGCATAGAGATCATCAATCGCTTTTTGGTACCACCCAAAAATTGACTTCAATAATCTTGCCACGGGGACAAATCCATACAACGCCATATTTTCCGGCTGAATACCGGTTATGTTACCATAGCCATGTCGCCACAGGAACATGAACCTATTTCTAGGATTCATCTTCCGCAGAAACTGATTCAGACTTCCCACGATAGCCCCAGAGCAGAGCCATTTCTGCCCAGTAGGTAAGTGGCTACTGTCTATCTACGTTCATGATGTCACCTGATTCAGCGTACTTCATCCGTTGGGCAAAGTTAGGTGATGATGATTGGAGGTGCTCATCTCTTGATGTTTAAGAGACTCACAGGTTAGGA